GCTTCCTGACGACAGGTTGTTACAGACATGTTCTGATTTTATCTCACCAAGAACATAGAATTGATTATCTTTTAGTGATTTCTGGTCCTTTTTTTTTAAAAAAAAAATAAACAATAGTAAAGACCAAAATCTTAACACTTACAAGTGTTAAGTGCTGCTGTTAAGTGCTACTCCTCATGGTGACTTCTTCTGTAAGACTGTAAGATCTCATTCTTTTTAGTATAGCATATGATGTTATCTTTTACTTTTCTTGTAGTATGGGATTTGAGCAACTACTACTCTACATTGCTTCAGTGTGTCACTCAGCAGCTACATAGCCTACTCTCCTCTCACCTCTTCTCTCCATATTTCTAAGACAGTGGTTCTCAGCTTAGTCTTCATATTGGATTAACTCAGAGAGCTTTAAAAATATTAATGTGGATACCAACTATAACTTCTCATTTAACTTTCCAAAGTGCAGAATATGGCATTAGGGTTTTGTAAAGCTTATAGGCAATACTAACGTGCAGCTGAGGTAGAGAACCTCTGCTCTAGGAGGTGCTGAGCAACTGCAGTAAAGCCAACTAGACATGCTTCCATGAAGTTAGACACTGTAGAGGCTCCAGAGATACCAACTTGACATTATAAACAGAGCAAGTAAATGGCTGCTTTGCTTTAGGAGTCATTGGGATGGGTCCTGTTCAAGAGAGAATCACAACTGTGTTTTTTCCATCTTTTTCAAAAACTGATATCTTTCAAAGGCTTTGATTTCTTCATTTGTAACCCTAACATTTCTCTCTTTCACCTTCATCTTTTCTCACTATTTCTTACCCTTTCTATAATTACTCCAAGGTTTTAAAAGGCCTTGATTTCTTCATAGCAGCTGTGTGGCCTGGTGGTTAAAGAGGAAAGATCCTGTATGGTCAACAGTGTAGTTCAAATTCTGGCCCTGGCACCTTGAGGAACACTCTAGTTGCATGTGCATGTGTGCCTCAAATCACAACAGGATTAGGAGAGGGAGGAGAAAGGATGCAGCATGACTGTGCCCCATGGTGGGTGCTTTCCCCCTTCTCCCTCTGTCTGTCTCTCTCTGGTGAGCTCACACAGCCTCTTATTTTTGAGGTTAAGGTAATATGTACATGATACACATTAAATACAGCAAAATACAACAGTACATTGTAAAGTTTATGAAAAACATAAGAGGTTGGAAGTCCATGGTCCTAGCTCCGTAAAATAATTTGAGATGCTCAATGTAATGTTATTCCACATTTTTTATGCTATCTGTATTTTCTTTAGGGAGTCATGCTTACTTAAAGAAGCCTAATGTATGACTTCTAAGGTCAACTAGTAATCTGCCTCTCTCTTTCATGAAGGCTTAAGTATCATAAAATTAACCAATTCTTGTGAAACAGGAAATATATAGTTTATTATAATTATAGACCTAATTGGGGTAGCTACCTCCCTCTAGATTAACTTTCCTATGATAGAGTTAGAAGCCTGCATTCATTCTTTTTTTTTCTGGTAATTTTTTTATTACACTTTGTAATTGACATTTAATAGTTGTACATATCCATGGGGTACAGTGTGGTTTTTCTATACATGACTACAATGTGTATGATCAAATTGAGACAACATATTAACTGTCTCATTTATCATTACATTGTATTATGTACATGTAAAATATTCTCTTCTGGCTATTTTGAAATATACATTGAATTGTCACCAACAACTGTTCCTCTACTGTCCTATAGTACTCCAGAACTCTTTTCACTGACCTACTTGCACTCTTATATCTGTTAACCAAGTTCTCCCTACCTTCCCTTTCTTTGAAATTCTGTCCTTCGCATCTTTTTTGGTGATTAAAATGTCTTTCTTTTTATTAAATCAGGGTAATAACCTATTTATTTGCTTGTTCCTCATATTCCTTAATTTGTTACACTAGTCCATTATTACATTTCTAATAGAAATATCTGAGAATGTGCGATTTATAAGGAAATAGAGGTTTGTTGACTCATGATTATGGTCGTAGGGAAGTCCAAAGGCGTGAGACTGACACAAGCTAGCCTATAGCATGTTCAGAAGAAGCACACAGGATGGTGGGCACACATAGAAAGAGAGAGCTACAGCAGCTCTGTCTTTTATAACAACCAGTTCTCATGAGAATGAACACTTTCTTCTCATGAGAACGAACTCTTTCTTTATTCTTTTCTTTTTTTTTTTGAGAAGTTTTTGCTATAGGGTGTGTACACACTCACCAGAAAGACAGAGAGAGACAGAGAGACAGAAAGCAAGAAATCACCCCCCAGGGGTGATCCCTTCTCCTCCGTTCTCCTCTCAGGATCTTGGACACGTATGCACACGTGCCTGGAGTGAATTTTTTTTTTATTATTCTAATTATTTTTTAAAACAGTCAATCACTATTTCTCAGTTTGCTTGTAAAAATACTTTGCCCATCATGAAATACTTCTCAGATCAATCCAGTTGAGAATACTATACAAGCCACCAGGTCCAGGACTTGAACCACAGTTGACTATGTGGGACCCGAAGTGACTGTGGTGGGAGTCCTTTGTTTTAGCCATTACACCATCTGCTGGTCCCACACCTTCTCAAGAGAGCTAGAACTTACTGGGTTTCTTGAGACATCATTAATCTATTCACAAGAGTGGTGCGTCCATGATAAAATTGCCATGATCCAGTCATCCACTAGGCCTCATCACCTCCCAACGTCAAGCCCGAAACATGAAACTTTGGGGGGAAAAAACCATTGTCCAAACCATAACATCTGGTAAACAAAGAATTAATTGGGAATCTTATGTTGATTTCCATATTTTTTTTGGAAATTTTGCTAATTCCTGAAAATCTGGGAACCATAGGTATGTGAAATCTATGAAAATTTGAATATGAAAGTATTGTTATAAATGTGTGGCTTTTTTTTTTTTTTGACAGAGAATTTTTGCTATAGGGTGCCTCGGAAAGTAAGAGACAGAGACAGAAAGCAAAAAATCGCCCCCAGGTGGAATGGCCACACCACAATCCCTTCTCCATTCCCCTCTCGGGATTTTGGGCATGCAGGCACATACACTCTGTTTGAGTTTTAAGCCACTGGCCCCAGGACTCGAACCATGGATGACTACATAGGAATCCAGAGATGTAAACATTTTGCCATCTGCTGGTCCCCGGTTTTCTTTCTCTTTTTTCTTTTTGAGAGAGAGAGAGAGAGTTTTGTGCTATAGGGCATGTGTGATAGCCAGAGAAACAGACAGAAAGTAAGAAATCACCCTCCGGGGAGAATGGCCATGCCACAATCCCTTCTTCCCCATTTTCCTCTCAGGATTTTAGGCACATATGCACACATGCCTGGAGTGAATTTTAAGCTGCTGGGTCTAGGACTTGAACTGCAGTCAACTACATTTGAGTCCAGTGGCATAACCATTATGCCAGCTGCTGATCCCAGTGGTTTTCAGTTTTGATTCTCTAATCCCTGATGGCAAAGAATTTTTTGAGTGGCCTTTAAAAATTTTTTTTTGAGAGGTTTTTGCTATAGGGTGCATGTGCTCACCAGAAAGAGAGAGACAGAAAGTGAGAAATCACCCCCCAGGGGGGATGGCCACACCACAATCCCTTCTTTTCCATTCTCCTCTGGGGATCTTCGGCATGCACGCACACACACCCAGCCTGAGTTCAAACCATTGGGTCCAGAACTCGAACCGTGGTTGACTGGACTACCATACAGTCTCACCAACTGCTGGTCCTGGCCTTTAAATCTAATAAGCATCAGAGTTCATTACTGTCTATGTCATTTCAGATCTGCTAAGAAGCAGACTCTGATAGAATTAAACATGCAAAAAATATATTAAGGGAAATTTCTAGGAAAAATTAAGGAGAGAGGAAGCAGAAGGAGGCCAGGGAGCCTTCAGACTTGGAGGCAGGTCTAACTTCTGTGCAAGGAGAGAAGAAGGAAGGAATGGTGGTTAGGAAGTCTCATGGCAACACAGCTCTAGGAAAGTCTCAGCCAGACTAATAGGGAGCCCCAGAGCAAAGACTGCCTATCATAGAGGTCCCATGTCAGACAGGAGTGGTCTGGCTTTAGTGCCCCCACCCTTGTTCAGTCCCCAAGTGGGAACAGCCTCTGGAAAGGGTGGCTTTGACAGGAATGTAGCAGGAGATTCCAGAGTTAACAGCAGCAGGAGGTTGTCAGCCAAAAACATTTCTCCCAGCAGATTCTTTCTTACAGGGCAATTTATGCGTGCACTTTCATTGCTGATGCACCAGTACTTTCAGTTTTAGAGCAAAAATACATGTTTTTCTGTGAAATGATGTGAAAGATAATTAGCCACATTCCAGGTATTAATGTTTCTGTGTATATCTTGTTTTTGGTCTTGTCCCTTTAAGCTTAATCAACCAACTGGCATTTATCAATTATAATTTGTCATCGTACCTGCTGGGACCACAGTTGATTTCATATCTCTGTATTATAAAAAGAAAGGTCACTGGTCGATGGATAAGATGTGGGTAGAACAACATTTGGCTTTAGTAATGGCTACGTCTTACAGGGCAATTTATGCGTGCACTTTCATTGCTGATGCACCAGTACTTTCAGTTTTAGAGCAAAAATACATGTTTTTCTGTGAAATGATGTGAAAGATAATTAGCCACATTCCAGGTATTAATGTTTCTGTGTATATCTTGTTTTTGGTCTTGTCCCTTTAAGCTTAATCAACCAACTGGCATTTATCAATTATAATTTGTCATCGTACCTGCTGGGACCACAGTTGATTTCATATCTCTGTATTATAAAAAGAAAGGTCACTGGTCGATGGATAAGATGTGGGTAGAACAACATTTGGCTTTAGTAATGGCTACGTCTTTATTATTAGATTTTAAATTTGTCATACTGATAGGCAATTATAACTTAGTAAAAATTCTGTTTTATTATCATTTCTTATTACTGTTTAGGATGTATCAAAGGAGCAATTATTAGATATAATTAACCTAAATTATCTTTTCTTGATTCACCACAGTGTGTTGTCTAGTATGACAGATGCAGTGTTGGCTCGAGTGTATAAACAATCAGATCTGGATACCCTGGCTAAAGAAGCATCCATCCCAATTGTCAATGGACTGTCAGATTTGTACCATCCTATACAGATCCTGGCTGATTACCTCACTCTCCAGGTTTGATTATTTATTTGTCTTGCAAAAGAGCAAAATTAACAAATATCGATAGTTCCTAATAAGCTTTAAGTGGGACTATTTGCTTAAATGATGATACTTGTGTTTTATTTTCAAATATCATTTTGACAAAGAATTATAGCATTTGTGCACATATCTGGGGAAAACACAGTATTGTTAGAAACAAACTATAATATCCTTCTGCTCTTAACCCTGTTCCTAACCTCTTTTAGTTTCTTTCTCATCTTCTATTCTTTCAATCACTTTGCCCTTTTTTGGGTTTTTGAGAGATTTTTGCTATAGGTCCCACGCACTCAACCGGAGAAGGGGAGACAGAGAAACAGAAAGGAAGAAATAACCCCTGAAGGAGGATAGCCATGCCACAATCTCGTCTCCATTCTCCTCTCAGGATTTTGGGCATGCATGCACATGCTCCTGCTGTGAGTTTTAAGTCACTGGGTCCGGGACTCGAACTGTGGTCAACTATGTGGGAGTCCAGTGATGTAATTGTTATACCATCTGCTGGTTGCTCTTTGCCTTTTGATGCCATATTTAACACAGTAAATAGATGAGTAGGAAATTCTGGAGCATAAAGAATGGACAAGCCTTATGAGAATCTACTTGCATCAGAGTCTGTGGCTTTGCAGTGAAGACCGGTAGAGTATACTTTCAGTATTCATAATGATTAGTTACTAAACCACTTTGGAAAAGGGGGCCACTTTCTACGATCACTTTTTTTTTGAAAGAATTATTTTACTTAACTTTTTAAAAAATTATTTTAATTTGACCAGAGAGGGACAGAACGAGAGCGAGAGAAAGAAAGTGAGAAAGCAAGCTGCTAGGTCTGGGACTCGAATCACCATCGGCCATCTGGGACTCCAGCACCCTAAACCCCCATGCCACTTGCCAGCCCCTCTACTATCACTTTTATAAACTGGTTACAGAGCTGAGGCTCAAATTCAACTATGTCCCCTCAAATCAGAAACTCGAATAACTTTGCAAGATTCTTTTTGCTTTCCTGCCACTACTCCACATGGTATTGTCACTTGGAATCCTAACAACTATGGCTTCTGTGTCTCTGGACAATTCTGAGACAAGGAAAACTAGACAGGCCCATCTTCCTTCTCATTTGCATAAGCTACACATATTTCAATACAAGTTAAACTTAAAACAAAGCTCTTCGAGGATGAGGATGAGATCCATGCAGAGAAAGTAATACAGTCATGTCAGATACCAAGTGGCTATCTGTGGATGTGGTTTTACATATATACCAGGTAAGTTCATGTGTCCCCTGGGGCTTTATCATAACTGGGTTATAAATTCGTTGAAGAACAATGAGCTGTTCCATTCATCAGAGTGTTCTCTTGCCAAGACCTCATGCAATGCCTTGGTGTAAGAGATACTCAAGATCCCAAGAGGAGAATGGAGGAGAAGGGATTGTGGTGTGGTCATCTCCCCTGGGGGGTGATTTCTCGCTTTCTGTCTCTCTGTCTCTCTCTGTCTCTCTGGCGAGCGCACACGCCCTATAGCAAAAACCTCTCAAAAAAAAAAAAGAGATACTCAAAGGAGTAAATGAATGAATAAAGAGCTAAGTTATTAAAAGCATTGGGATCAAAATCAGATAGACCTGGATTTAAATCCTAGCTTAGCCACCTAGTAGTTAAATGATTTTCCAATTGTTTAGGCTTTTTTAAAAATAAACATATCTTCATAAATACATAAATATGTAAAATGTGTAAAAGTCAGAAAGTTCAAGAAAAAAAAAGTAAATGTCCATGTGCCCATTACATAGTTTTATCAAATATTAACATGATGGGGTAATTATTCTGTTTTTCTTTAAGTAAAATATTATAGGAAATTTGAAGTGTATCTCTGCCTGATCCTATTTCCTCCCACTTCTCAAAGAAATATTTGTTGTCATGTTTATAACAATATTTTTAATTCCCAGGCATGTGTTGATACTCTAATTATACACATTTGTATCCATAAGCAACCAAAAATATTGCTGAGCTCGTTTTTCAACTTTATAGAAATGAGTATATGCTCAGAGCCACCATACTCCACTGTTCTAAGTCCATTGTATTTTCCCTTTCTTATGCGAAGGAATGTAAACTCTGTAAAGACAGTGATTTTTGTCTCCTTTGATCGTCTGTCATTGTATCTTCAAGGCCAAGGGCAGTGTCTGCACATAGATTATGCTCAGTTTGCTGAGTGAATTATTACAGCTACGATTCAGATTTGAAAAGTTTGAAAATCTGAGTCTCTGTACAAGGTTATCTGATGTGTTAGTTTAGGACTCTTTACTCCTGTTTTCTGATTACACATTCGTGCTATTGAATTGCTGTGTACAATGCAAAAAAAAAGAAAAAAGAAAAAAAAAAGAACAAGGCATTATAATTGAGGTGAAGTGATGAAGTGAAGACCATTTCCTCTTTTAGAACCCTAATAATTGTTGCATACAAGTTGATTCCATCCTGGATTTAATCTCCTTTATCCATTACCTTTTAGGAACACTATGGCTCTCTCAAAGGTCTTACCCTCAGCTGGATAGGGGATGGAAACAACATCCTGCACTCCATTATGATGAGCGCAGCAAAATTTGGAATGCATCTTCAGGCGGCCACTCCAAAGGTAGGCAAACTTTCTGCCTTGAAACTAACCCCTTCTTAAATTCTCTCCAAATGCAGGGGCTGGCAAGTGGCATAGTGGTTAAGGTGCTGGATTCACATATGTCCAACCTTGGTTCAAGTCCTGGACATGGTGGCTTGCTTTCTCACTCTCCCCGCGTCTCCATCTCTGTCTCTCTCTGCTCAAATTGAATACTACTACTAATAGTAAAAAATGAAATTAAATAAATTTTTATAAAATGCTCTTTTCCATTTAAAGAGAATACAGGCAAGGCCACAAAAAGTAGGTTTTGTTACCAGGCTTAGCCTTACTATTAAATAACTATGTGGACTCTTAAGAGCCCAATTTCCCATCTGCACAATAAGACATAGTCTTGGCTGATGTTTCTCATTCTCTCAGTCTGTGTTAAAAGCATGTCTGGATTAGATAGCAGGCCCGCAAACATAGTGTAGGTCTCTAAAACCTATGGGACTCTGTAAGAAGTGTGGCAAGCACCAACCTCACAAAGTTACACAGTACAAAAAGGGCAAGGGTCCTCTGTATGCTCAGGAAAAGCAGCCTTATGACAGGAGACAGAGTGGCTATAGTGGACAGACTAAGCCTATTTTCCAGAAAAAGGAAAAATCTACAAAGAAAATTGTGCTGAGACTTGAATGTGTTGAGCCCAGCTGCAGATCTAAGAGAATGCTGGCTGTTTAGAGATGCAAGCATTTTGAACTGGGAGGATATAAAAAGAGAAAGGGTCAAGTGATCCAGTTCTAAGCTTCATCTTTTATTATGAAGATGACAAAATCTTGAGACAAATGTTCACCTCATTTGATTATAGTTGGTCTTTTTGTGGGGGAGTAAGGTAATCAATAAAATCCTCTTTGTGGGGAAATTGGACTCATGGTTAAAAAAAAAAAATGTCTGGATTATTTCTTTGAATGCCCCATATCAGCCATTATGATGACTGGCATCCTTGTGTATTACCATAACAAAGGCTAAAGAATGCAGTGAAATTCAGACAGTATAGAATTCCCACTCATGGGAATGATTTTTTCATTTTCCTAATACTACAATTTACTAGAAAAATGTCAATCCAATGTGAAGGTCACAGTGATGGCATCTACACCAGTTAAGAGTTTCAGAATTAAACACCAGTGGCCCTTCAGGTTTTTAAACCTGAGTCTCTTATGGCTACAAAGATGACCCCTGCATACTTGCTATTCTGCTGGTAATTTCTCACAGACACATGGGAAGTATAACTTCTGTTATAGGCCAGATGTAACCCTTTTTTGGTACACAAGAAACTGGTATAAATTGTCTCTGAAGAAGGAAACTCAGAGGTTTGAGGATAGAGGTTAGAAGGGAGACTTTATTTTGACCATATATGCTTTTTATATTAATTAAATTTCTTAACATGTAAATATTTTGTCTAATGGTAACATAAATGTATAAATAAATAAACTAATAGAAAAGTGTGCAGCTCCCCCAGGAGCAGCCCTGTGTTAAGATAACCCCTGCCCCATGTAGAGTAATAAGGCTTACAGAAGGTAAAATCCCTATAAGACACTAAAACACAAACCAGCCTTGGAAGATTCCCAGAGAACCTTTTAAAGACCCCACCTCTACTGAATTTATGTCCTCATTATGTTTCTCATTGGTTGATAATGTCCTATTAGGAATCTTCTGCAGGGAAAATTCTCCTAGATAGAAACCATTTCACAAACAAAATCTTGATTTGTGGTAAAAGATAAAACTAACTCCAGTATCACTATTGCTCTTCCTGCTTTTATACCTTCTAATCTTTCTGTTTCTGCCATAGAGTGCTGACATTTGTTATATATTGAGTGGGGACATACAAAGTCTCTTTTTCATAATCTGACTTATGTGTATGGTAATATCTTTGACTGAACCAATCAATATACAGTGTATTCATGATGGGAAAATTCATTTGGTACATTGCAATGATACACAATGATTGAATGTAAAATAAATAAATAAATACATAAAATTAATTAAAAAGAAATTAATTAATTAAAACAGTTAAAACTGATTCTGGCATTAAGAGAGGCTATTCAGAATTATTGTGCACCAACATATATCTGACCAAGTATGTGTTTGCTATTATCTCAATGGTCACTACTATGGTTCACATCTGGAAGCTAAGATATCCAGAGGTGAATATGCAAGGCTTAAAAAGTTCTCCTTTGAGGCTGGCAGGTAGTATGGTGGTTAAGGTGCTGGACTCCCACATAGCTGATAGTAGTGTGAGTCCCAGACTAGGCGGTTTGCTTTCTCACTTTCTCTTTCTCTGATCGAATTTTAACAAATAATAACAAAAAATGAAATAAAATAAATATATTTTTTAATTTCTCCCTTTTTTTCCCTCTTTCCCCTCCCTCCTACCCTCTTTTACCTACCCCTCCTATACTGTCTCTGGTACCTACAGTTGCCCTCCCTGCTACTGTACCTTCTTATATTTCAGTTTCTGCTATAAAGTGTGGACATTTGGTATATTTTAAATGGGTCATACAATGTCTCTACTTCATAGTCTAAAACATTTAGCAGAATGTAAAAAGCTTAGAGTTTTGAGATGTGTATATGGGTTTCTTGACAACCATTTTGTATCCTGTAGAGATGCACAGTGATTAAATGTAAATTTAAGAAATTACATTTAATTTAAGAAATAAAATTTAAGAAATTAAAAACAAATTGTAATGATAATAAAATTTAAATATTTTCTATCTTCTCTTTCTTGAGTTTATGACGCTTATTTTCTTTTTTTTTAATAATTATTTTAGTTAAATTTATTTATTTATTTAAATTTGACCAGAAAGGGATTGAGAGTGAGTGAGTGAGTGAGTGAGAGAGAGAGAGAGAGAGAGAGAGAAAATAAGTTGCAAGGTCCTGGACTCAGCAGCAGAGAAGGTGGAGTGGTAAATCCTTTGGCATTTTTGGTGGGAAAAACAGCCTGGTACATAGAGGGCTGTCTTCTGAAATCAAACTTCAAGTGCTAAGTGTTAAGAACACATTGAAATTGGGGAAGGGAGGGAAAGCCATAAAAGGGGACCATCTGAGTACTGGGTAGATTGCCAGATAATCTGCTGTATTTTGCTAAAACACAATAAAACCAAATGCTTTTTCCTAGTGTTCTTGTTAAACTCTTGGGTGTCAGAAAAGTCATGACATATTTTTCAATGTTTTTCCATACGAAAATATGTCATAATTTTTCCAATGACCCAATATTGAGGTCAGTGCATCCTGCTGTCATAGTTTCTTAATGCTACCTTAAAACAAAATAAGTTTATTCCCTCGCAATTTAGAGAGTAGAAATCTGAAATCAGGGTGTCAGCACACTGTCTGAAGCCTCGAGGAAAGGATCCTTCCTTGCCTCTTCCCACTTCTGGTAGCCTAGGCATTCCTTGGCTTGTGACTGCATCACTCCAATCTCTGCCTCCATCCTCTCCCCTCTGTGTCCATGTCTCTCTGTACAAATATTACTCTTCTTTTTAATAAAGTTTATCTCTTCCATGAGAAAGAGAGAGAGGGAGAGAGATGGAAGGAGATCTTTATGCCATGATCCACATCCATCTCAGCCAGCCTGTATCACAGGTATGCACATGCAGCCTGAGTAGGTCCAGTTGTGTTACCACTGTGCTACCACCTGGCGGTAAATGGTCTTCATCTTATAAGAATACAGGTCATGTTAAATTTAGGCACACCTTAGTCTAGTACTACCTCATGTTAACTAATTACATCCCTGAAGACCCTATTTCCAAATGAGATTACATTCTGAGGTTCTGAGTTGGCCTGGGTTTTAACAGGCATTGTTCAAACAAGAGCATCTTTCATAGAAGCAATAGCAAGCATGTGCAACAGCATGTACTGGAAGCTTTCCTATTGTAGTAAATTTGGGGAACTCAGAGAAATGACCCTTATAGCAGATAATTATCTTCTTTTATTTATCATGCACTTAAAAAAGGGTCAGATCTGACATGTGCTTAATGTGGCTCTTCCTCACTTGATGGGAAGGGTGAGCATGCTCTCACCCCAAGTTTAATTTGAAGAAAGGCTCTATATTAATGCAAACTATTATTTGGTCTTTGCACATTAAACATGCATTAGCAATAATTATTTCCTGCTATAAGGTACTATGGGAAAGGCTTTATTCTATTGAAGAAATAGTTTAAACATTTTATTGCATGTCAAAGATGTTTTATTAATATCAAAGGAAATATTCCAATATTATGGAGTCATTTCAGTATTGTTCTTATGCAGAAACTCATTTAAATGATAAAGAGTACTAAAACCCAGTTAAATCTTGGAGGGAGTAAGAGTTTTTAAAAAGTCTTCTGGAAAGTCTGATAGTGCAAAAGTTGTTCCATCGATTTGTAAAGTGATTGGATCTTAGTAGGCCTATTTCCTTTAAAGATAAAACTAGGAGATTTATTGTAAATTTAAGAAACACTGAAAAGTTTCCAAGTCTGTAATTAACTCATTTCCCTATTCTTCAACCAAGAATAACTTACATGTTCAAGAAAAAAAAATTGTCCATTATTTTTTAATGGGTCTATAAACTATCGATGGTAATGATTTTAACATTGTTCTGTGTGAATGTTTAGACTAAACTAGGTTTGTTAATCACATTCTTCATCTGGTTTTAAGATTTATGTAAAGTCCAATGAATGATTTAGTATTGAAAGCTGAAATGTGAGTAAAGAATTCCTCTCTGTATTCTAAGTCATGGTCCAGTGCATGCAAGCTTGGGTGGTTTTCTAATTTCCAATCCTCTCTCTTGGTTCTCTAAGTACTTATTGATTCCTTTTTAAAGAATGATTATACTTAGGGAGTATAAAGCCTGCTCTCCAAAGAGAAGGCTAAATTTCTGAGGCAGGAGATACCTGGGGTAATATTCCTAGTCTTTTTTGTTTATTTTTACCTGTATGAGTCTTTACAACATTAGTTACTAAATCAGCAAGCTTTTAGTAATTACTTTCCCCAAACCTCTACAAACAAGGATCCAAAACTCATGGCTGTTTGAGGGTAGCAAAGCTGCTAAAATGTCTGCAGTTATCATCAACATCTGAGTAGCTTCTTTCCTCAAGAATTTTGTAATGGGAAAAAAAACCCCTAGGGTGGACAATCATGTACAAATAAAGACAATTTCAAATGAATAAACCTAGACATGCTTGTCTCAAGTTAGGTTTCTCACAAAGCACACTCTGAAGCAGAGTTTAGCTAAGCACAGGAACTGCAGGATGTTATTAGTACCACCCTTGAATAGACAACAGTGGGAAGGAAAAGAAGGAAGCAGCAGTGGGACAGCAAGAAACTGCGCTGATACAGACCCAGTAACAGTCTTGGCCAACCTTATGGAGATTGATCTGAGGTGGTCATTCAGAGCTGTCCAGAGCTAGGCAGAGGGTAGTCAGGTTTTCATACTCTCCTGTCAATCAGTCATTGAATGTAGGTCACCCAGGAAGGGTGTGTGACCTTGATTGTGGCAGCTTTCTGCAGCTGTGGCAGTGCCCAAAGGGTGCTGACAGCTGAAGGGTATTTTCTGGCAGCACTCCCAGCAACTGGGGGAATAAGTCCTTTTTATTCATGATTATTCACCAATGCTAAGAATTCAGAAAAATGAGAAGAATGAAAAAAGGCGAGATAATGATAGTGTTTGAATTCACAAGACTTCCACAGGGAGCATCTGGAGGTGAGGCTGAGGTAGAGGTTTGAGGAGCTGACAGTTCGAGTAAGGACGCCCAGGAGGGGATGAATAGGGAGGTGTTCAAGGGTGAAAGTCTGTGATGGCAGAAAAGGGTAAAATGTGTACAGGGACAACAATAAGATTCACTTTTCTGCAGCAAGATGTTGAACAGAATTAAAAGAGACAGAAGCAGGGATGTAGATGGGGAGTATTGACACTCTTAATCAGTTTTAACTTAAGAAACAAGCAGTAAACATCAAAGGCGTCAGAAAAAAAAAGCAATTCTGCTGTGTACAGAAAAGATTGGAGAGTAAATGAGGATGGAGGCAGGGAAGCTACCCTTGGGAAGCTGGAATACCTTGGGAGGACGTTAGCTGCCTTCATATTATCCCCTCACCCATAATTGAAAATAAGGTGAGCAAGGGAGGCACCTACGGCGCAAAATTTGTGCTTGCATGATCCTATAAATGAGTGATTCCTTAATTTTTTTAGTGTCTTCTTAAAATTTAATGCTCTAGGTGCCTCTTGACTCAGGGGGTCCATATCCTGACCATGCCGCATCATCCTGAACAAATATATAATGTTAGCCGAAGTAGTGTACTTGGTGTGTAAATTCCATTTCAAAACAAGCACCCTGCAGTTAGAGCACTTACTGGAGAATGCAAATGAATAAAACGTGTGTGGAGAGGCTGTTAGTATTTAGCTGGGGTGGTCAGGGAAGATTTTTCTGAGGAAACCTGAAAGCAATATCCACATGGATAATGAGTAGATTGGGTAAAGCATTTCAGACAGAAAAGAACAGCATGTAGGAACTCAGACAACCATGCATTAGGATGTACAATTATGATTATAATCATCTTAAGCTGTTAGAAGAATGAGAGGTGCTATCAGAAGCTAGAAAGCAACATACTTTATATTTGTCTTTATAACTAAAAAGGTCAGAGTTAATAAAAGAAAGATGAGGCAATTGGTTACTTTTTTAAAAATGAAATTTACATTCTCTTTTTATTTTATTATTTCTTACTTACATTTAATTGCTGTAGATCGTTATAGCTTACAATTATGGTTTTTCAGAGCATGCATGCAGTGCGTGACAATCACATCAGAGTTGTTACCATATATATAATTTTCAACCAAGAACTCTACATCCTTGAGTCTATTAAATGTTTTTTAAAACCCTTCTCACCCGCCCCCTACTATCTCCCCTCCTACATATATAGTCTTATATCTTCACTTTCCCTCTCCACTATTATACCTTCAAATCTTTCAGTTTCTGCCAGAGTGCAGAGTGTATTGAGCAGAGAGATACAGTGTTTGTCTTTCATAGCCTGGCTTGTTTCACTTAGCCTTTTTAAATTTCAAAGGGCACTACTGAAGTTTAAAATCCTAGATGTAAAAATCATATTCCATGATTTGCCCAAAGTCACACACAGCTGCAGATTCCTCGGACCCCCCTAGGCATTTGAATCCAAATTGCCTGCATTCTTTATCGTTTTGAACAGTTTTATAGAGATATAATTGACATAAAATAAAGCTTACATATTTAAAGTGAAAAAAAGAGATATCTTCTTTGTCATAGCAGCTTGGTCTTGCCTTACAGCTGAAATAGCCTTTTAAATCTTTCTGGGGATATTCAATAATTATTTTTTTTAAAAAAATTATACTCTGCTGAACATGGTTGGGCTACATCTTTTAAAAAAGGAATGAGAGAGGGAATAATCTTGAGAAGAAATTAATGAGTATGTAGGAAAACATAATAAAATCGCCTAATAACAGTTAATTTTTTTTCCCTGCAGGGTTATGAGCCAGATCCTAGCATAACCAAGTTGGCAGAGCAGTATGCCAAGGAGGTATGCACCTTATATGGAAAGCTGTAATTGCCTTTCTCTGTCCCATGAAGTTGTTTAACTGACATGCTTATGTATGCTAGAACGGTACCAAGCTGTCGCTGACGAATGATCCATTGGAAGCGGCGCAAGGAGGCAATGTATTAATTACAGACACTTGGATAAGCATGGGACAAGAAGAGGAGAAGAAAAAGAGGCTCCAGGCTTTCCAAGGTTACCAGGTTACAATGAAGGTACAAATTGATGCCTCTCTGAAGGTTCATTAATTCCATTCATAAAGGCCAGAACCATCTAATCACTCATTCTCTTAGGGGAGAGCAGACTGTCCTTTCATTCCCTATAAAGGACTCGCTAACTGTATTCCCCAAGGATTGTGCTCTTCCCAAAGATTTGCTGTGTCCTTTGGAAAGACATTTTTTGTGCTGGACAAAGGAGATTAAAACCCAGGCAGAAGAGAGAAGCAGGTTTTTTTCCTCTCAGCGATATGCTTTAATCTTTGTGTGTTTAGAGACATTAGGTTACTTCTGATGCTTATAGTTTCTTCCAATTTCTCCCCTAAAGTGCAATAACTATGCTCCTTACACTAGTCTTTGTCTATATTTTCTAAGTACCCCTGAATCTAATGAATTTTGTGAACTTCTTCCAGTACATTCCCAGGGGATTCTCAATCTGATGCCTTCCTATCAGATCAGGAGCAGTGTTTTTCAGTCTTTAATGACTTGGCAGATCTGGGCCCCACCCCAGATATTTCTGATTCAGCAGGTCAAGGGCAGACCTAAAATTTTGCATTTCTACCAAGTTCCTAGGTGATGCAATGCTACTGGGCCAGAACCACACTTGAAGCACCTCTATTTTGGAGAAAAACCCTACAAGGCAGGCACACACTGGGGTTTTGTCAGCAGAGTAACTAATCTGCTTGGTGAAGAAAGCGCTTAAACAAGTATAATAAATATTTTTTATTGACAATGTAATACATAAATATAAGTTCCTTATTATTACATGTCAAATAAGACAGAAGTTTGAAAAATAAAAAGTGAAAATGTCTTTTCCCCATCCTCTTAACAGTTACTATTCCCAGAGGTAAGTGACTGTAACTATGATGTGGTTTTTTTACTAACCTTTTCTGTGCATTAACATGTATGAGTTTAACATAAAAACTACTATTGATATTCATTAATAGTATTTTAGACATACTATTCTTTTTCTACTTATCAGGTCTTAGATTTTCTTGTCCATGTACTGAAGTATTTTAAATTCATTTTAGTGACTGTATAAAATTCCAAAGTATGAATGGACCATAAATTATAAAATGTTTCCTATTAATAAATCAGGCCATTTCCAAAAATCCCAATGATAAACAATACCAATGAACATGCTTACACATATTTCTTGTGCAAACATTACTGGAGAATAGATCCCTAGAAGAAGAATTTCTGGATGAAGTGGCACACACTTCTTAAAATATGTGAGATACTGCTAAATTGCCTGTCCAAAAAAGATGAACAATCTATACTTCCACAGCTGTATTTTAAAGTTCTTTCTCTGCATGCTCTCCATTTTTTTAAGGTTTTTGCCATAGGGCATGTGCATGCACTAGAGAGAGACAAAGAGAGTGACAGGGAGAGTGACAAATCAGCTCTCATGGTGGATGGCCATGCCACAATCCCCTCTCCTCTATTCTTTAGGATTTTTGGATATGCATGCACACGTGCTCTGTGTGAGTTTCAAGCTGCTGGGTCTGAGACTTGAACCATGGTCAGCCATGTGGGAGTTCAGCACCTCAACCACCTTGCCACCTGCTGGCCCCATACTCTCAATTCTTTGATGTTATTTATGTTTTTGAATTTTGCTAACCTAAAATAATGATATCTTAGACTTTTAAAATTCGTATTCCCCTCATTACTAATGCCATTCTGAATTATTTTATGTTTATTGGCCATTTTCATTTCTTCTTCATATCCTGTGCCCAGTTCCTTTCCTTTTCTTTTTTTTATTATTGATTACAGGAGGTCTTTATATATTGTGAATAATTTCTTGTTATATATTTGGAAAAATTTAAAAATGCATCATGGGGCATCTCCATATGCATGAAAGAGAGAAAAACACCCTTCATAGGAATAGTCACTCCACCTTCCTCTAGTCAGTCCCCTTCCTATAGTCCATCAGGATCCTGCACAGATGTACATGGGTCTGTAATGTCTTCAGGCCTATCAGATTGGGGGCAGGAACCATGATCAGCATGTGTTTTCCACCTCTACAGTCTGATACCAGCTGCTGGTAAATACTTTATGGAACTATTTTAAATTACCTATGGCTTACTTCATACTTATCTTGACCAATTTTAGGTATTTTTCTGGTGCTAGGACTATAGGCTTAAAGAACAGTCATTTCATTAATGTATGTCAGGTATAAATGTTATTTCTTTTCCATGTCATTTTGCTAGTATTTTAGAAACTCAGAATATTCTGAATGTAGAGCTAGGGTGGGAGGTAAAGCAAAATTTGAGTATAAAGGTAATCATTTTGAGATAAGAAAGTATGAAGAAATATAGTTTTGAACCTGTAAGTGAGCAGGGAAAATGGATGGGACAATGTAACACTCAGGAATGAACTGTTAGAGAAAGTTTAAATTGCTTGTAAATTCACACTAAGACTAAAACATCTTGTGAATAATTCTTCTAATCCTGTTTAAGGCACTCCTACCTCGGTGCTTTTTTCGAAAGTGCTTTAAGCAGTAACAAAATATGCTTCAAGTATCAAAAATTATAATTTGGAGATAAACTCAAAATGTAACACCCATTATATTAAAGCAACTTTCTTACATATTGGAGCGTAATTGGTGACTTTCACTATTAGTCACATATTACATTAGTAGAATTCTTTATTGAAATGTCCACTATCCCAGTAGACAGAATATCAGAAAACTAAGCTAGTGGATGAACTTGAAGTGATGATCTCTCAAATTGAAAAAAAAAAAAAAAGACTACACAATTTCATAAGTTGAAAGTACCACATGTATTTCCTCTGGATTCCTTGAGCAAAAACCTTCACTCTGCCCCTTTGTGTCTCCCTTTGCATTGCTTTCTCACCCAAGGTCATATGTGTTTTTAAGTGCTAAAGAAAACAAATACGACTGCTACATATGATAGTTCAGCATGGTCTTATCCCCCTTCTCTTTAGACTGCTAAAGTTGCTGCCTCTGACTGGACATTTTTACACTGCTTGCCTAGAAAACCAGAAGAAGTGGATGATGAAGTGTTTTATTCTTCACGATCACTAGTGTTCCCAGAGGCTGAGAACAGAAAGTGGACAATCATGGTAAGCAAGACATGGGAAATGGAGGATAAAGAGCACTCTGTGTGGTCCAACTTGGCCAGTTGTAGCTTTTAGTAAACAATAAGCAACCTGGATTACCCCCACCATACTACTTGTTCATATGGCATCTATTTTTTTTCCAGAATGCTCATAATACATTATTATTGCTCATTAGTATTTAGAGTACATTTTAATGGATTAAAATTGATCCCCTTCCAAATAAATCTATTTTAATCAAAATTCTCACTGCCCTTGATTAGCTTGAGTACCAGCCACCTCTGTCTGCCAACCATTTTAATTTGTGTAATTCTCATTTTAGAATCTCTTTGTTCATGTTTATAGAAGCCCCTAATTCAGTGCCTGGTGCAAAATGGGCATTCAAAAAATCTAATTTCCTTCCTCCTCTCTTTTCTCCATTCATTCCTTTCTTCCTGACTTGACTAGATAATTATTTTAGTTCTCTATTTGAGTTTGGCTGTACAGACACATTAATTTTTATGTATAGAAGATTTCCAAAATTCATGGCAAAACTTCTCTTAAAAATTACTGGTTCCTTTCAGATATAGCCACTAGTCTCATTTGCATCACTGCCATTTTAGGAAATATTAACCTTACTTTTATAAACCTCTGCTTTATAATATCCCATTTATCACATTCTTTTCTAGAGAACTGAATACTTACATGCCATAACTTAGCTCCGCCATTTTTTACCTTTTAATGATTAAACTGGTCTTAATTGCTGTCCCAACCAGGGTCTTACTTGCAAGCAACAAAGTCAACTAAATAGAAATAGAAAGGATAATAAAAAGGATATATTTTTAAATCTGTTTTAGAGAACACATGTGCTCATTGGAGAGACAGAGAGAGGTAAAGAGACATAAAATGAGAAATCACCCCCCAGGGGGGATGGCCACGCCTCAATCCCTTCTACTCCATTCTCCTCTTGGGATCTTGGGCACACATGCACATCTTCCCAGCATGAGTTTTAAGCTGCCGAGTCCAGGACTCGAACCACAGTGGACTACGTGGCATAGTCACATATAGCTTGTAGCTACATTATTTGTGTTAGACAGCACAGGCATACAACATTTCCATCACTGCAGGAAGTTCTTTCGATAGCCCTGCTCTAGAGCATAATTTCTACATATACAACTTCATTTAACATCAGGATGGAAAAAGAAAGAACAGACAACAATCTGTTCACTAGTTCTGAGATGCTTATAATGGTTGATATAAGGTAAATAACTAAAAGAGGGTGAAGGGCTTATACTTAAAGTGTGTAACAATTTAAAAGCAAAAGTATGCTCTTTCAGCAGTTAGAATAGCCTTTTAAGGCTTTCATGCTGGGTGATTTCCAGCAGTGCTGTTTAAACACTCTAGTAATCACATCCTTCTCTTCAGAGTGTACAGATCTTTAGATCCATTTGCTTAAAAAAAAAAAAGTAATACTACCCTATCACCCTTTCCTTCCTACAAAGCTTGCTTTTGTATTTTTCAGCAATTAATACAGCAGGAGTCATAAAAAGTTGGGCAGGTTTCTTCTTGTGCCTACAAATTTTATTGTAGAGCAAAAGTAATCTAAAAAGTAAGCTGCAAAAAAAGCTGACATTTCAAAGCCCTGCTATCCAGATGACTTTTAAGTATATAACACCCTTGCAAATTGTAATTCTAAGTCTTTTGCTTCTCTTCAAGTTAGGGTTGCCAGATAAAATACAAGACATCCAGTTAAATTTTAATTTGAGGTAACAACAAATATTTTTTTAATTTAAGTATGTTCCATGTAATATTTGAAACAAATATACAATAATAAAAGTGATTTAACTGAAATTTGTATTTAACTGTCTTTCTGTTTTTATTTATTTATTTACTTATTAGCTAGGTCAGGTGACCCTACTCCAAATTTGCTTTCTAAGTTTTTATTTGGAAGTAAGCTTGACACATTCAATGACCATTGAAAACAAAGCAAAAGCTGAGATATGGTTCCAAGAACCATCAAGAAGCTGAAAATGTTTTTGCCTGGTAGATGTTCTTATCCCAGAGTTTGACCTTCCTAGTTCCTTCTTGTTATTCAAACCTCACCTTAGTTGTCATTCCTTAGCAAAGTTTCCCTAGGTTACTCATTCATAAATGGATCCTGTCCTCCATTATCCACTTTTAAAATTTTATTTTCTAATGAAACTACTTGATAGTTTCCTATTTGTTAATATTTTTCTGTTTGTTGCCTGTTCCCCCACTATAAACTATAATAAAGGAAACTCTTAAGAGTAGTGACCTTGTCTGAAATGTTCTTCATTATATCTAGAAGACTGGCTGACACATATCTTAGATGTATACTCAGTACATTTTTATAGCCTAAAGCAATACAGAATATTGCTTTTAAAACATAGCTTTGCTGGGGCCAGCAGGTGGCATGGTGGTTAAGGCGTGGGAGTCCCACATGGCCGAATACAATTGGAGTCCCAGACCTGGAAGCTTACTTACTCACTTTTCTTCTCTCTTTATTTCTCTGGTGGGTGCATGTGCCATATAACACATTAAATAATAATAATAATTTAATGTAATTAAATAATTATTTTGTAAAAATACATAAGCTTTGGAAAGTAGGTTAAAATTCTGTCTCTCTGTGTGATCTTAGTCAAGTACCTTAACTTCACTAAACTCTGTTTATTCATATGAAAAATGAGAACAGAAATAGAAGCAGCTTAATAAGGTTATGAGGATTCAGTAAGCTAAGAGTCACCTGAGCATTGTAGTCAGGTTCCAGGGACAGGCACCACTTACCACCAATGCTCAGAAAAAATTACTATGTCTCAGTTTCTCCAGTTATATTTTACATCTCTTATCACCTCATCCAATAGAAAAGAACATTCAGTGGTCTGATGCATCTGAAGCATTTAGCATAGGACCAGGCACAGGTTAACTATTTGATAAATACATTCAATGAACACCTTTGAAATATAAGGCCTGTGCTGATAGGCTAGAGACACATACACAGCCTTACAAAAATAAAACAAAGCAAATGGTTCTCTTTTTTCCTAAATCCTAGACAACACTTGCTATTTTTTATCTTTTTGATAAAAATTATTTGAATGGGTATAAAATGATATTTATCTCATTGTGTGTGTGTGTGTGTGTGTATGTGTGTGTGTTTTAGGTTTTGCCATAGGACGCATGTGCTCACCAGAAAGAGACAGAGAGAAGGAAAGTGAGAAATCACCCCCAACAGGAGATAGCCACAGCACAATCCCTTCTTTTCCAGTCTTCTCATGGGCTTTTGGGCACGCACATATGCACAAATGCTTGGCGTGATTTTCAAGCTTCTAGGTCCAGGACTAAGACTGTGGTTGGCCAGGTGGGAGTCCAGCGCCTTAATGACCGTTCAACTGCTGGTCCCTCTCACTGTGGTTTTGATTTGCATTTCCCTAATGATTAGTAATGCTGAGAATTCCTTTTTTTTTCCTGAGAATTCTTTCACGTACTGTTGGCCATTTGCGTGCCTTATTTTGAGAAATGTCTGCTGAGGTCTTTTGACCATTGTTTAATGAGGCTATTCATTTCCTTGTTACTGAGTTGTTTGAATTCCATGCATATTTTGGTTATTAACCCATTATAAGATATATGGCTTGGAAATATTTTCTCAGAATCTGCGGATTGTGTCTTAATTCTGTTGTTTGTTTCCCTTGTCAGGAAGTTCTTTAGTTCAATACAGTTTCATTCATTTTTGCTGTTGTTGTTGTATGAACTTTCAGGATCATATCCAGAAATTGTTGTCCAGACCAAGACTGTAAGCTTTTTCCATAGGTTTTCTTCTGGTTTTATAGTTTCAAGTTTTATATCGAAGTCTTTACTCCATTTTTATTTTGTTTTTTTCTATAGTGTGAGACAAGGATCCAATTTCATTCTTCTATATATAGGTGTTCAGTTTTCTCAGCAGCATTTATTGAAGAGACCATCCTTTTTTTAAAAATTTTTTTAAGAGAGAGAGAGAGATTTTTGCTATACAGTGTGTGTGCACTTGCTGGAGAGACAGAGAGACAGAAAGTGAGAAATGACCCCCATCCCCCAAGGGAGATGACCACACCACAATCCCTTCTCCTCCATTTATCCTCTTGGGATTTAGACCATCCTTCCCTAATTGTGTGGTCTTGCCACCTTTGTCAAAATCCATTGACTGGGAACCAGCAGTTAGCATAATGGCTATGTCGCTGGACTCCCATGTAGTCGACGGTGGTTCGCGTCCCAGACCCGGTGGCTTAAAACTCACGCCGGGCGCGTGTGCGTGCGTGCCCAAGATCCCGAGAGGAGAATGGAGGAGAAGGGATTGTGGCATGACCATCCTCCCTGGGGGGTGATTTCTCACTTTCTGCCTCTATGTCTCTGTCTGTCTGGCGAGCGCACGCGCCCTATAGCGAAAACCTCTCCAAAAAAAAAAAAACATCCATTGACTGTGAGTGCATGGATTTATTTCTGGGCTTATCCTGTTTCACTGGTCGGTATGTCTGGTTTTATGCCAATACTATGTTGTTTCATTACATTTTGAAATTGGGGAGTGGGATGCCTCCATTTTTCTTTCTCTGTCTTTCTTCTTTCTTTCTTTTTTTTTTCTTTCCTCTTCATTCTCAGGATTGGTTTGACCATTTAGGGTCTTTTGTGGTTCCATACAAATTTAAGGACTATACTTTCTATTTCTTCAAAAAATGACATTGGAATTTTTGTTTTTGCTGTAGGTCACATACGCTTGCCAGAGAGAGAGAGACAGATAGAGAGGAAAAGTGAGAAATCATCTCCCAGGAGGATGACCACACTGCAATCCCATCTCCTCCACTCTCCTCTCAGAATTTTGGGCATACATACACACGCGCCTGACATAATTCTCAAGCTGCCAGGTCTAGGACTCAAACCACGGTCAGCATAACTACCACACCATATGCTGGCTCTCACATTGGAATTGTGATGGGGATTTCATTGGATCTGCAGATAACTTTGAGCAGTGTGGACATTTTCACACTATTAATTCTTCTTATACATGAACATGGGATATTTTTCCATTTATTTCTGTTTTCCTCCATTTCATTCATTATAATTTTCAGTTTACAGGCCTTTTACCTCCTTAGTTGAATTTACATGGAAGTATTTAATTTTTTGTGTATTGCTAGTTTACATGTTTCTTTATCTTAATTTCCTTTTTGGATAGTTCATTATTAAAATAGAAACATCACTGATTTTTTAGTGTTGATTTCATATTTTGTAATTTAATGAATTAATTAATCAGTTTTAACAGTTTTTTTCAGTGGATATTATGTTAAGTGAAATAAGCCAGAAGCAGAAAAACAAATACTACATAATCTCACTTCTGTGTACAAACAAAAAAAAAAAACTCATAGGAGTTTAGAGTAGAATAATAGTTATCAAAGCCTGAGTGTGGGATAGGATATAGACAATGAGGGGTTGTTGCTCAAAGGGTACAAAGTTTCAGATAGACAAGAGGAATGGGCTTTGAGATCTACTGTACAGCAAAGTGACTATGATCAATTGTATGTATATTTCAAAATAAGACAGAAATTTCAAATATTTTATTATTAAAAAATAGTTGAACAAAGTGATGGATGTGTTGATTAGCTTGATTTAATTTTTCCACAGTGTATACATATATCAAGACATTACACTGTACATCATACATGTATAGAATTGTGATTTGTCAGTAAAAAATAATAGTCCTAGTTTTTAAAAGGGTGGAGTTAGGGAAGCCTCAATGTCAACTCAGTTCTACATTACTTGTCATTTCTTTTTCTTTTTTCTTTTCTTTTCTTTCTTTCTTTTTTTTTTTTTTTTGTAAGGGTTTTTCTCTAAGGTTGCTGTGCTTGCGCAGGAGAGAGGCAGAGAGGTAGAGAGAGAGAGACAGAAAGCGAGAAATTGCCCCCCCAGAGGGGATGGCCACACTGCAATCCCTTCTCCTCCATTCTCCTCTTGGGATCTTGGGCACAAACACACACACCCAGAGTGAGTTTAAACCACTGGGTCCAGGACTTGAACCGCGATTGACTAAATGGAAATCCAGTGACATAGCCATTACACCAACTGCTGGTCCCACTTGTCATTTCAAGATTGATTTCTTCATTGATAAATGATAATTACAGAAGCTGCTTTAGAAGGTTGTTGCATTAAATGAGATAATGCATGAACATTTCTCTCTAGTTCACCAAAGTCAAATATTTCTTGACCGACTGACACATGATAAGGCACTTGGTATACTGTCTGGTACCTAGTAAGTACTCAATAAGCATTCGCCCCTGTTTCTGATATTACTATTATCACTATGGTGGATTTTGGGAAGATTAAAAGTGAAAATTACTAAGTACAAGGGGAGAGACTATAAAGTCAATGTTCTTTCAGGGGAACTCAGATTAATATAACAGACAGGATGTGTTAAGCCAAATGATTTACTTTTACTTCTCTACATCTGATTTATGCTAAACTTCTCTAGGTTGCAAGTGACCAAACTACAGTATAAACACAAGGAACTGGAATTGGAAGGATTTTGCTTCTTTAAAACCAGCCAATGTCTAAGTTTCACTTATGGCTGGGAAAATTGCTCCCACTGTGGCATTTAATTTCAGCTCTCTGACCTACTAGTCCTGAAATGATGCCTAAGTAAGCACAGTGTTCATGCATATATTTGGGTCAGCCTGGTCCCTCTTGACCTTTTTTTATCCAAATAAAAATAAATATTAGTTCAGAACTGTTCCTTTATCATTTCCTTGAGAAAATAAATTTTAACCAAACGCCTGCAAAGCTGAGCCCTAGATCCCTTAGTAGACTGTTGCTAATGTTTATCTATTTCTTTCTTTCTCTTTGTGTGTCATTCCAGGCTGTCATGGTGTCTCTGCTGACAGATTACTTACCTCAACTCCAGAAGCCTAAGTTTTGATACTGTGTTGCTTGTCAAGAGAAAAACAATATTTTCCAATAACCAAATGAGTCAGTTTACGGGGTAAGGAGAATAAAAGTCTAATAAACAAATCCCTTACGCATGGTATTGGTGAACTTTATGATTTTGGTTTGCTGTTGGGAAACCTTCCTGAAGCCCTTCATTTAAGTGCTGATGCGCTATAATACACAACTTGACTTGGTTTAAACTCTCTAATTCACAATTACTGAGTTACATTTGAATATCATATTAATTATCATATATGTTTGCTTCACTACACATAAAATAATTATGTTCGTAATATGTAATGTCTAAGCCACTAAATGTAATCCATGTTTATTACCTTAATAAATTATCACACATACTAATTTATAAATAAACATTTATCAGGCAGTCAGCTACTGGTGGGTCTGTGGGCTGTGTTCCTTTCCCTAAGGACCAATGAGAAAGCCAAATGATCCATCTTACAGATGTAGTACAATTTTCTGGCCGATGAGGTACACGGGCATTCAGTTACAAAAGCACATCATGAAATCCCAAGAAAACAGCTCTCATTGTGCCCAAACTTTGGAGTTTTTGGTTTATTTTCAGCCATTTGCAGGACGAGAGGGAGGGTCCTTCATGAGCATGACTCTCTTCTCTGTAATTAATCCTTAATATTACAAACCAAAAGATGTCTTTGTTAGCAAGTACTAAGATAATGAGTACTTAGCCAGGAATGTAAGATCCAATGGAGAAGGGAATTTGCTTAGGTTCAAATTCTCCAGCAGGAGCAAATTAATTTTTCACGTCTGTGCTTACCATATATCTACTCATGCTACGTGCTGGATATTTACATTAATCTACTACTTGCTACACTTTAGCTAGGCTTTTTCCTCTGGTTTTTCTTCAGATAATCAAAAATTACATTAATGAGTTACCATAATGTAATTAAAACTAGATTTTTCTTGTGGGTGACCAAAACTTATGTTATTGAATCATTATGACATAATTTGAAAATGTTTAGTTACAATGTTAGATAATGTAAGTAGAACTTAAAAAATATAATAATGCATTTAACAGAGAACACACAAAAAAATTTCATTTATATTCTATCTCTACCAATAGAAGAATGTTTTCAGGCTGCTTGACTGACATTCTTTAGCAGACAGCTATGACTTAAATGAGTAAGCAAGAGATGAATGGCAAGTTAGATTTGCAATAAAGATGCAATAAGATATATTTTCCAAGGGGGGAAAAAATGTCAGCAGTTGGTATGGTACTGAAGGCACTGGATTCCACATGGCTAAGTCTATGGGTTGAGTCCCAGACCTGCATCTTGAAAAACACTTTAGGCATGTGTCTGTGTGCCCAGAAAAAGGAGATATAGGAGAAGAGATTGTAATGTGGCCGTCCCCCCGGGGAGTGATTTATCACTTTCCCTTTCTCTCTGTCTCTCTCCAGCAAACTCACATACCCTATTGCAAAAATCGAAAGAAGAAAATAAAAGGGTTCATTCTGTTACAGGAAAAAAAAAATCAAGTGTTTTTAGTACATGTCAAAGGTGACTCACATCTATAGTAATTTATTAGAAGCACCTAAGAAAGAAAGAGTGGAATTTAGTGGTATATCTTTTTTCAGCAAAATATATAGGATTGATTTAACCAGAAAGTGCCACATGATTGTGGATGCTCACCTTCAAACTGTCTACATGGAAAAGTGTATACTTCCATTTACCAAATGGTCCCCATGAAATTGAGCTCTCATCTCTTTTCTGGTTATTCTTTGAACCAAATGTTTGTTATAGTCCTTTCCTCAATCAGGAAAAAACTTATAATAATTTTCTCATCAAAATGTAATCACTTTTTTCTTAGAAAATCCCAAAGCTTTCTTTGTTATGTACATAAAATTTGACCTCTTTCTCAACTCAAACTTGTAGGGATTTGTCCACTTTCTTAACTTTTCATCTTAAGACATTATCTATATTATCAAGAGAAAAGAAAATGGGAAAAAAAAAGTGGCCATAATTTTTTTTTCAAACAAAAACATGTTAACTTTCTTGAGAGACACAAAGATAAGCACCCAAACAAGATCTCAAGCAGGGAGCCTTCCATACCCTTCTCAGCCAGCCAGTTCACAGGCACATGTCATAACATGCCTAGCATGCATAGGTTGACCCAGAATTCAAACCCCAAATTCCCATATGCCGGCATTATCACTAAGTGCCATGCTACTATTGTACCACCAAGACTGAGCCTTGCAAATCTATTTTCATCTATTCTTTCCTCTTACCATTTCCTCCCCCATTGCCGTTCCTATTTAACTACTACAACAGAAAAGATTAACATAAACTCTAGCAATGACCCTTAGGTCCCCAGTGTATATAGCAAATTCTATTCACTTAATTAATACAGTGAGCTAAAGAGTTCTTTCATCCAGCTTTTCTCCACTGTACATTGGGAATAGAAACCACAAATGGTTATACTGCAATGATTTCAATGTTGGGGAAGAATCATCAGGTTTGTCTTTTGCAGTGATAAGTTTCCACATACTTCCAAAAAATAATTTAATGTCAAATATTTCTAATGTATATTGTGCTAATAATTTGACTATTGTAAAGTCCCCAGGTAGAAAGATCTGCACAGAAGATCAGCCTGACAATACTATGTTAGACCTCCTACATAAGTGACCCTAGAACCTCAATTAAAATAGCAAGTGCCCCTTGGCCCAATGCCAAGGTTCCAGGAAAAGACTTCACATGTGATTTTAAAAGAAAGGAATAAAGAATAAATATGAGAAGCATATCCCAAACACATTCTTTCTGGGCCTTTTTGTCTTGGAAGCATTCATTCTTACATGGAGGTGATTGAGGGACATCTTGAAACATGAAACCACTCACTAATTCTGTATGATGTCATTTGACAAGAGTCATATCAAATAATGGAAAACCAGTCAAGTCACAATGTTCAAACTCCAACACACAGAAATGGTATATACTGCTGAGTGAGTTGTGCCCTGTGACAAGGTCTCAGGTAAAAGGCATGGGTAAAGGTTGAGGTCTGCATTTTAGTTACCAAGCCTTGTGTCTCCATACAGGCCTTCTAGTTGGGAGGAAGGAGTACTTTTTTTGTAGGTTGTCCACTGACAGGTGACATTTTTCAGTATTTAATAAACCTGAATAGGTGTTTTATTTAAAAACCATACAAAGGACCAGTAGGGACAGCCCTGCCAATTAAAATTTACATCAGGGTTTTTTCAATATCACCCCGTGCTTAAGGACAATGGAACACATAGAGACAGTGCAATGATGGTTTTGGTGTTTTGTGTCATCTTCTGTTAGGTTCTTTAACCCCCTGCAATGAAAACAAGAGTGTCTATTTATCTTTGTGTGGCAAATATATGACACATGTCATTGAAATGGACTTGAGAATCAACTCTGTAGTTCTTTAATATAGTAAAGAAATTCTTCCTTAGTAATTATCCACAAAAATTAATATCAATTATTGATAAAAGAAACATGGTCAGATCAATGAAAGTTAATTCCTTGAGATATAATAAAATTTTTCCATCTTATTAGTGTTTGACTTCTGTCAGTGACACAAAATTCAATTTTTAATCAATGTTTTTGTGAAACTCATTCCCAGAGGAAATGTGTGCACAGCCACTGCCTTCTGGAGCAAAATCACTAGGCAAGTGCATTGAAAAACTGGAACAAGGTTTAAAAATAATCCAATCTCTCCATTCATTTTACAAAGGAAAAAAAAAAGCAAATGGCAACAATCTTCCTGAATAGAAATATATTCTATAGGGAGAGAACTCATGTTTTCAATGCCCCTCTGCAAACTATCTGGGATCCTACAAATATAGCCACATGGTTTGATTTACTCATAGACTGAGTGAGGAGAATGGAAAGCCCATTAGTCCAGGATTGTGGTTATATGAGGCCAGAGAACAGAGACCCAAGTTTACACCTGAGGTGGGGATGTTCACTGATATCCAAAGGTCTGAACAGAGGCCCCAAAACAATCATGTAGTAAATACTGGGGGGACCCTAACCAGATTCCTTTTACCTGGATAAATTTATCCCATAGCTGCTGTCAGGATTGGCAACAGATGGTTCATAACTGCCTCTTACCTGAAGCACAGCTCTCAGCCACCAAGAACCACTCAGCCTCAGAGATCAGACTCTCGTCTCTACACTACTATCAGCAACTCACAGTCAAGTGACCAAGATAGGATTACAATAACTTGACTTCCTCTCCTTTAGTCAAAGCTAGCTCTGTGGTGAAATGTAAGCTCCAGATTTCCCTGTGGGTAGCATCAGGTTGAACTGGCTGGAGCTAGTATGGATTGAGACCACATCCTTGCTTAGCTCCTCACCACCACACTCTAACCTACTTCCCTTCTGCTTCAAGCACTTCTTGAATAAATCACATGCATAAGAAACTTCATCTATGTTCTGCTTTCAGAGAATCTGACCTAAGATTATCATGAATAAGATTTGCGGAGGGTCTGTACTGAAAGATTGAAAAGTCTTCAAAGCGCCTTAGGGAATGGAAAGGGTTGACTCAGTGTCTTACTTAAATATTTTAATTGAGAAAGGTCATCTAAGACTCTCAGGTACTTGAGACATTTTTTTCTTCTCCTTTTTTTTTTTCCCCCCAAGTTAACTGGCCCCTCCTTGACCTCACTACAGATGGCTGATTTTTGTTTTCCTAAGTTTTTGCCTTTGGATCTGGAGATTGAGAACATCTCTTGCTGACACTGAAACATCAACAAACCTCCAAATATCTGGCAGATCAAAGTGGCCAGATATGTCAACTAGAGATACTGATGAAATAGTCCAGAAACTGTGAAAGGCCAACAGGCATCCTGTCCCAGGATCACCCTAATTAACCAACCATAAACCCCTGCCATTAAGACCCAATAAAAGCTCCTGGCTCCCACCTTTCTGGGATGATGTAATTTCTCTGCATCTGGTGCCTTTGCTCCCTTGGAAAGTGAATAAACTTTCCTATCCACTTTCTCTCTGAGTTTGTGAATTCTTTCATAGCACTCAACAGAGACCGACCTAACATGTACTATTCATCCTTTAGACATCAAGAAAGAAGAAGAGAGGTAAGAGGTCA